CACTGCCACCCCCACCCCCACTGTCTCCTGCTGCACATTCCTCCCGCCACAGGGCTCGGCTCACAAGGCCACAGCCCACATGCCTGCTTAAAGCCCTCTCCATCCCCTGCCCTTGCCCAGTCCCTGCCCAGGCTGAGCAGACACCCCCAGGATCTGCCGGCAGCTCCTGTTCTAAGGTAAGAGTGGGGCAGGCTCTAAGGCAGGGGAGAGCAGGGGAGGGGATGTGAGGGTCCTGGGCCCTGGAGCATTTGCTCAGAGTCTGCCTGTGTCCACTCCGAGTGGGCGTCAGAGTTGTTAGAAGTCCATGGCCCCTCCTAGAGGAGGCCACACTTCAGAGAAGGTGTTGCTGGGACCGGACTCCAAGATTAGAGATGAGGATTTGAGTTAAAGACAAAAGACATTGTATTGTCGTAAAGTCTTGGGTAAGTCACTCTCCCTCCCTGGGCCTCAATGTCCTCATCTGTAAGTGGACTAGCTAATTGCTAGGCTTCTGCCTGCTCTAAAGACGAAGAAGCTCACACCAACAGGGACTCCCCCAAATTGCTTGGTCCATCCTTTTGCCTCCAGGCCAAGGGCCACCTAAACCTTTCCAGGCAGGTTCTTCTTGAGCCCCAGAGAGCAGAGTGAGACTGTGGCGTGCCAGTCAGATGAGTCCTCAAGGGGTCAAGTTCTCTCCGGGAGCTTAAAAACTGTTCTGGGAGCATTGAGAAAGGCCCAGTGTCCAGAGGCAGGCAGGGACCGCTGGAGCACCTCCCTGAGCTGACCCGGGGATTCTTTGACTCCCCGACCCAGCACCATCCCCCTCTCCAGACAAGAGCAAGGGCTGAGCAGCACTTGGGGGGGCTGATGGGGGAAGTATCCCCACTGGGAGATCCTTTTGTGGGAGAGGGATGAGCCCAGCTTGTTGGCATTAAAGGGTTAACCCAGGTGAAGCTGCCCCAACTCCATGTCCCTGCAAGTGTGATGCTTGTCCCACCCCACCCCAACACTCAACATAGGGATGGACCTCTCTCTATGCCTGGGAGTGGTAGAGAAAGATTCCCTTGATTTTTCAGCTTCTCTTGGGCAGGCCGGGGGAATATTTGGGGAGGGGGTTGCCTGGAGTGTCAGGAATTTCCAAGCATATTTCCCGTCCTATGTCCTAGTGCAGCTGGGAAGCCACCTGACCTCCCAAATTCCTTCTCTGACCCATGTCTTAGAGGGCAAATCCTCCTTCTCCCAGGGCAAAAGAGGAATCTGAGAGGATCAAATTGCTGCCCCTCCCTCCCTCCCACCTCCCACCCCCTCCGCTCCCCCCATCCTGTCCTCCAGCTCTCCTGGGGAGCTTACAGCTGTAGGCTTAGGAAGATCCCAGCTGAATGTCGGGGGCAAGGGCTGAGGGGTGGGGCCTGCATTCCTCAGAAACTCAGAGACCGTTTCTGCAAGCAGAACTTGAAGCTCATCTATTTTGTAAATAGGTTATCTGAAGCCCGGAGAGGTTAAGGGACTTAACTAAGGTTACACAGCAAAACCTAGGTTTTAAACCCAGATCTTTTGACCCCACAGCCAGTATTCTTTGTGTCTTCTATCGTTTTTGCTTTACTCCCCAAGAAAGGTAACTCTGATCTCTTGGTGGTGAGGGAGTTAGGCTAGAAAGCAGCCTGTAGAAGTAGGTGGGGCTCGAGTGTGAGGACACAGGTGCCTTAGGACGTTCTCGTACATTGCCCTGCCAGGTTCTTGACCTTTTCCCGTTCTGGAGCCCCCATTCCCAGCCTACCCTCTTCCCCTCATCGTGTCCTGCCTTTGGCAAATGGCTTGGCTGCGTCCTCCAGGCTGAAAGCTCTTCTCTGCTCTCCATGGTCTGCGTGCTATTTTTAGGATCCGATGGTGCTCCCAGGAGCAGGGAGAGAAGCCCAAGTTGCTCTTTCCTCCTCTGAGCCATGCCCAGGGGCTCTGAGCTGGTGGGAGGGCAGGGTAGGAGAGGAGAGAGAAAGCTGGAAGATATGCACCTCTGCTACCGCTGACCACATACAACTCCCCTGAGAAACCTCTCCCTCCTCCCAGAGGTGGCAGGTTCCTCCTGGGGCTCAGCAGATCCCCAAGTTCTCAGGGCACTAGTTCTGTTTGCTCCCCTGGAGTTTGGGGCAATGCTTTTCTGCCATTAGACTCCCCACCCATCATGGGGTTAGGGGGCTGTTCTCTTTGGCCATTCTGATCCTGAGACCCATTTGGAGACCCTCTGGGGTTTGAATCATTCTTCGGCAGAATGAGAGTTGATCCCCCAATATGACATGTTACACAATTGACATTTCTGCTCACCTACCTCACTCTGAAGGTTGCGGGGGTTGGGAGCAAAAAGTGGCTCTTAGCTGCTGTCTAGAGCTGCACGTAAACGGGGCTCCTGCCTCACTTTGCCTGTCCTGCTCCAGCAGAGGGGGCAACGCAGCAGGACAGAACATGATGTGCACAGGTTCAGAAGAGCAGCCAGGTAAGCTGCGGTGGGTGTCAACTCTGAGGAAGTCTCCACCCAGAGGCGCTGGGGAGCAGCAGGGCTATTCATGTGCCGCTGTCCTCACCCTGCAGCTTGGGTCTGACATTGGTGGCTGCAGGGCTGGCAGGCCCCAGTGTGGGGCAGGAGGCAGGAGGCACAGGAGAAACAGCAGGGCGAGGTCCCATCCATCAATCTGAGTCTACTCACCTCACTTGAGCCTTACCCTCACATCACCTTGTCTCTTCTTTCCCTTGCCACCTGACATCAGGAAGGTTGTGGGGCCATGATTTTGCACAATGACAATGGGCGCTACTCACATTTCAACCAATGCAATTGTGTCCCAGGAGCTATGGCCCTGGAGGGTGGGGTCATAGTAGTTATTAATTGATGGCTACTCAGGGCCAGGCACTTTACACCAGCTCTAATCTTCACATCCACTGCAGAAGAGGAGCAATTTCACAGTGAAGGGAACCCGGGTGTAGGGAGGTTAGGTGACCTTTGCACGGTCACACACAAACGCCTGGTGGAGCCAGCATTCAAAATCAGATTAGTCTTGCACTCGGGGCTTGCTCTCCCCACCGCTCCCCAGTGCTTCTCCCCGTGCTTACACCTTACACATGCACAGTAACACCTGGCGTTGCCTAGTGCCTTCCACGTTCACCAATGTCATGTTGAGCCTCGTAAAGACCCCTGAGGGGCCAGGGTGTGTACACGCTATCTCCATAGGACGGAGAGAGAACTGAGGTTCAGAGAGGTTGAAAAGACTTGCCGCAAGCACCCTCAGCAAGCTAACTGGAGAGGATTTGAATCCAGATGGTCTGCTCCTACTGCAGTCAGGGGAGTATCTCAAAACAGGCTCCCTGGGGAAACGTCTTTTAATTGGAATTTTTATTGAGATAATCATAATGAATATGAAGTTGTAAGAAATAAAACTGAGCCCTTGTACACTTCGTCCAGTTTTCCCCAATGGTAACATTTGCAAAACCGCAGCGCAATATCACAAGCAGGATATGGACATTGATACAGTCAATGATCTTATTCAGATTTCCCGAGCTTTACTTGTACTGTGTGTGTGTGTGTGCGTGTGTGCGCGTGTGTGTCTGTGTGTGTACGTGCGTGTGTGTGCGCGTGCGCGTGTGCGTGCGTGATACAGTCAATGATCTTATTCAGATTTCCCGAGCTTTACTTGTACTGTGTGTGTGTGTGTGTGCGTGTGTGCGTGCGTGTGTGTCTGTGTGTGTACGTGCGTGTGTGTGCGCGTGCGCGTGTGCCTGTGCGTGTGCGTGCGTGTGCGTGTGTTAAATTCTATACAACTTTAACCCGTGCAGGTTCATATAACCATCACCACAGCCAAGATACTGAACAGTTCCTAAGCCACACGGATCCCTCACGTGTCCTTTTATTACCACACCCACCTCCCTCCCACCCTCCACACAGCCCATGACAACCGCTAATCTGTTCTCCATTTCTGTATTTTGCCATTTCAAGAATGTCGTATAGGGCCGGCCCCGTGGCTCACTCAGGAGAGTGCAGCGCTGGTAGCGCTGAGGCCTCGGGTTCGGATCCTATATACGGATGGCCGGTGCGCTCACTGGCTGAGCGCGGTGTGGACAGCACCATGCCGAGGGTTGCGATCCCCTTACCGATCAAAAAAAAAAAAAAAAAAAAGAATGTCATATAGATGGAATCATACAGTATGTGACCTTTTGAATTGTTTTTCCCCCTCAATCAAATGAATTCTCTGGATATTTATCCCAGTTGTGAGTACCAGCGGTTGGCCCCTTTTCATCACTGAGTCGTATTGCATGGTGTGGACGTGCCACGGTTGGCTTCACCACCCTCCCAGGGGAGGTTTGTACAGTGATGAACAGACCATGTGGAGTGGGGCTGGGCAGACTGGAAATGTTGAGAAACTTCACAGAACTGTTTTGAGAGTTACAATCGGCCACAGCGAATCCAGACAGTGTGCCTGTTCGGGGGCAAGGAACAAAACGGACATTAGCTGGTTGCCCTGCAGTGATGTGGGCGTCACTATCTCCCCTTCCCGGAGCAGGAGGAAGCATGGCTGATAAGGGGTGGGGTTAGCTTCACCCCAGCCCTCTCGGATCTCTCTACAGCTGGGGCCAGGGCTCCTCTGAGGAGAGCAGGCTTCCCTTTCTGCCCTCACTGACACTTTTCTCTTTCTGGAGGGAGAGCAGAGACCATGTCTGACACAGAAGAGGTGGCGGAAGAGTACGAGGAGTGAGTATCTGTGAGCGTCCTGTCCTGAGTGCTGTCGCCTCCCCACAGCCCCCACGCCTGGTCCATGAGCCGCCCAGCTGCTCTAGGATCCAGGGTAGGGGTGGCTGTGTCTGTTTTGGGGACCCCGAGGACAGATATACCCCCTTCCTTTCCATCCTGCACCTCCAGGCTGCAGATCCTGTGCAGACCACAGGCTGGGGGACGTTGGGAAGTACAGAGGCTCAGCTGCAGGGTCAGTGGGTCCTACCTAGGGGAATGGCCACTGGCAGAGGAGCTGAGAAGCTGAGTCTCCTGCGACTGATCCATAAAGGCTCAATGATTCTCCTGAGGCCACAGAGCTGATGGTCACGCCCCACGAAACCCGACTCGGAAGTCAGCATTATCGCTCTATCTCGACCATGGCCTGCCCACAGCCCTGTCCTGGGGAGAAGCTGGGTGGGACACAGTTAGCCAATCAAATAACTACCTACTGAAGTGGGGAGGGGGAGGATGGTCACCAGGAAGTATGCAGAGGGACAGGCACGGCTCCTGCCCTCATGGCACTTACTCTCCTGTGGGATGTTAAGACGTACACTGTTGAAGGAATTAGCAAGCAGGGGCCTGGTATGGAGGCTGGGCTGTAGCTGTGCAGGAGCTCTGAGGAGAGGGGGGTCAGGGCTGGCATAGTCAGGGCAGGCTGTGTGGAGAAGGCAGGTCTTCACTGTGCAGAATCTGGAGAGAGAGGAGATTTGGGCGAGGGAAGGGCTTTCTTGAAAGGGGCACAGCCTAGGAAAAGCTCCGAGGTGAGATGAGAATAAGAAGTGGGAAGAATGCTGGGGACGCCCAGCTGGCTGACACTGAGGTTTGCTGAGGACAGTGGGAGGTAGCCCTGGATGGGAAGCGTGGGCCAGGCTAGCGGTGCCTCTGCAGGAGGGCAGAGAAGCGTGACTACATTAGGCAATGGGGAAAATAAAAAAGGGGCTGTCTTTGGGGAAGGGCCAGAGTTGTGTGCGTATGCGTGTGTGTGTGTGTGAGTGTGTGTGTGTGTGTGTGTGTGTGTGTGTGTGTGTGTGTGTGCGTGCGCATGCGCACACGCTATCGACAGTGTGTTCTGTTCACTCAGGGAGCCGGAAGGTAAGCACACGTGTGTATCATTTGGAACAAGGACAGCGTGGTTCGACGCTGACCCACCTCTTCTCTTCTCTTTTGCTGCCCTGGTCTTCTCTTCCGAGCAGAAGTAGGTGTGGAAGGTACGTACCTTGGGCAGTGGAGGGCCAGAAAGGAGGAATCTCAGGAGTCCTGTGATTCCTGGAATTCCTGGGAAAACAGCTTGTCTGTCCCTGCTCCTCATTCTCAGCTGAGCAAGACCCCCCCAGCAACTGAAGCTCCTAGATGGGAGTCAGCTCTACCTCGGTTGCTCAGGTCTGGAGGGAAAGGGTTTAAACCTGTCTCTTCTGTTTGCCAATTTCTTCAAACAGAATCACCACTCCAGTGAATTATTTTTGCATTTCTCCCCCATTGCTTTTTAGTGTGTAAAATTTTAAGTGCATATAAAGGTAGCAAAAAAAAAAATAATGTACCCCCTCCCCTGGTACCCATCACCCAGCTTCAATTATCAACTCACAGCCAATCTTCTTTCATCTCTACTCCATCTCCCTCCAGGTATTTTGGAGCAGACATCCAAAATCATTGCCAAACATCATACTATTTCGTGCTTTAATATTTCAGTATGTATCTAAAAGATAAGCACTATTTTAAAAAATAACCACAATACCATTATCACACCTAAAAACATTCCATTTAATAATCTTTCAACTGAGATTATGACTATGAAAGTGCTCAGTTATCTGAGACATTTTATATAGACATGAAGATTTGTTATTATTACCTTGCAAAGGCCCACCTTGCTGTTCCTACTTTTGATCTGTTAACACATTGCTCTGCTCACTTTTGGGTCCCATATCTCACCCACAGGGTGAAAGAACACCCAAACCTTTCCTTCTTCCTGAGACTTGACACATGAAAGTGATTATGAGGCCTCACTCCAGTCCCCACCCAGCCCCCTAATGGCCCAGAATGGCTCTCAGGCGCCTCCAGCATCTGCACTGCACCCCCCGCAGGTGGGACCCTGCCCTTGCTCAGATGCTGCCTCAGCACATGGTATGCGGACATTGGGAGAAGGGTCTCCATGAAAGTCTGAAGAGAGAGCTGGGGGGCTCAGTAGCTGCCCCCTCCCTTGCTCCTCATGCCTCCTAGGGGAGATGGGGGGCCTCCTGCACATTTAGGGCTGTTCCAAAAGTGTCTGACCAAAGAGGAGACAGAAGAGAAATTCACAAAAATTGAAAGGGGCTGCAGGAGTCGTTCCAGGGAACACCAAACATTTCCGAAGCTATCCAAAATATCTTTTGAATTAAAAAAATCTAGCTGGCCCGATCTTCTGCTGTGTCCTCTGCACAGACTCTTGATATGGCGAGTTTTCTTTTGCTTTGGAGGATTTTCCACTTCATCCACACAAAATGACAGGTTTGGGGTGATGGGATTTGGGACATAGACCTCTGCATTAGGGACCAATCTGCCTGCTACACACAGTAGGATTTAGCTGAGTTAAAAAATAATTCTCCACTGTGATGGTGGTCTGCGTTCCATGTAGCGCCCACCTTGTCGTGAATCGATCACGGCCCCCTCCCACACAGCCCAGGACCTGGAGGTAAACGACCGACTGAGAGCAAAGTCTAGATGGATGTCCACTAAGCCAAGAGGATGGACAGTCCCGAGTGTCTCCTCTTCTGGGAGAGAACTTGTTCCAATTACTGTAACCTCTTTGGGCAGATATTTGCACCCAGCGCAACAGCAGCAGACGCAGTCTGTTTCCTTAGGGTTATAATGCTGGGCCTTCCGTGGGTGGGCAGCTTCTTTCCAACAGCCCAGGCAAACCCCCTCGGTGCCAGGCTCCAGAGCAGGGCTTTCAGAAGTGTGACTCCTGGAGAGGTTTTGTGAGCTACCTGAGAGGCTCATTCAGGGCAGGAATGTGGGGGAAGTTTGATGGGAGCAAATCGTCCCCACTCTCTGCTCCTCTGGGGCCTCTGTCTTAGTGAAGAGGGAAGCTGAGTGTCTGCAGTCTAGGGGCAGGGCCGGATGGGAGCAAATCGTCCCCACTCTCTGCTCCTCTGGGGCCTCTGTCTTAGTGAAGAGGGAAGCTGAGTGTCTGCAGTCTAGGGGCAGGGCCGGGAGTGTCTGCAGTCTAGGGGCAGGGCCGGGAGCTGCCCGTTACCACTGACCGAACGCTGCTCCATGCCAGGCACTGCCGGGTGCTCTACACGTGCCAGGTCACCCCGTCTCACAACGGCTGACAATGAGTGCAATTGTTTCCATTGTACTGACCAGGCACCCGAGGCCTAGGGAAGTTACTCAGAAGTGAGTTGCCCACATTGCTGGAAAGCGGTGGCTTGGAGTTAAAGCTCAGGCCTTGCTCCAAAGCTCACACTCTAAAAGCCGCTGCACCGGCCTGCCGCTGCCTGGTCTTTGCTCCCACACTAACCTGTCTCGCTTCTCCCCTTGGCTGCTGCTGCTGCGCCCTGAACCTCAGAAGATGAAGACTGGAGAGAGGATGAAGACGGTAGTATAGCTTTTCCTCTGACCTGCTTTCTGCTCCCTGCTGTCCTGAGTGCAGCCTGCTTGTCGGGGGGTCCTGGGCTGGGGGTGTGGTGTCGAGTGGAGGGCAGGTGTGGGGTGGGTCGGTCATTTCCTCCCCAGCCTCAGAGCGGCCAGGACCGCAGATCTGAGCTCTCTCATCGTGTCGCCCCTTCAGGACACCGGCTCCTTCCTTTTCCTGCTTCCTGATCTTTCCCCTGGGCTGGTTGGTAGGAAGGACCCAGGCTGGCTCGTCTCCCAACCTGCCCCAAATGTGGCTTAGAGGGGGACTAATGTCTGAAAGGAGTAGCTCCTCACTGCCCCTCTGTATGCTCCAGTGTTGTGTATGGGCCTCTCCCTGTGGGCTGGGCAGCACCCAGGTAGGGTGGCCAGTGGCTGAGGGCCCTGGGGACAGAGTCATCTGAGGAGCAGCTGGGGGGACTGGAAATAGCCGGAGCAGAGAGGACATGATGTCAGCCTTCAGATGTGCACTGTGGAGGGGCAGGGGGCTGGACTTGTTCCCAGTGCCTGGCGATTGGACAAGGGCAAGGGACAGAGATTGGGACTTCAATTTAGAAAGAACTTTCTCTTGATGATGTCTTGAGATGCAGCAGAAGGCCATGAGCACTCTGTCACTGGGAATGTCACATGGCCACCGTGTGAGGTTGGAGTGTGTTGTACAGAGAAGTGAAACATCAGGTGGGGGTAGGGAGGTGTTAACAAGATGGCCTGAAGGTGGACCCCCCAACCTTCCATATCCTTCCTGGCCAGCCCTCTACTCTCATGCCTTCTGGAAGGACCTTTTTTGAGGTAAGTTTCCTGTAGGGATCAAAGAAGAGGCATCTCCAGGCCTCAGGGAGGCCACGGACTTAGGAAAGGAGGACAGACAGAATGGAGACTGAGAGGCTGGAGGCCGGTCTTTCTCCCATGAGGGACTCTCCCTCCTGCCTGGGGGATTTGTCTTCTCCCTCTGCCAAGAGGCCACCACTTGTCAGTCTATCAGTCAACGAGCGTCACTAAGCACGTCCTATAGCAGAGCCCTGGGCCAGGCGTCGTCCCATGTGCTTTACTGACTGTCTGTCTGGCTGTCTACTCCCAGCGTCTGCCTGGGGTGGATTCTACATCCTGCCAACCCAATGGATGAAAATGGAAAAATCCTGCCAACTTTCTGGCTGGTACAAATATCTGAATGTTGGGCATTTCATCCATCCCCACCGTCTTGCTGTTTTGGTTTCTTTTGGATAAGAACGAAGGGTCTCTAGATTTGGAGAGTCACTGGACGGGAGCTGCCCCAATACCTCATGTTAGCAGGGCATGTCCTGTGGTGCTAGACACTGGGTGGAACTTCTGGGGTGGAAAGTTGGGGAAAGGGGTGGGCCCGTATCACCAGGGAGGTCACTGGGGGAAGAGGAGCCGAGTCGCAGAGGGAGCCAGCGGGCGGAACACTGTCCCTGCCTCCAGCAATGAGTCTCGCTGGGCGCGCCTCTTCTCTGATGCTCCTAACTCAGATTTCTGTCCCTTCCAGAGGTCTCCAGATAGAGAACAGTTCTCCATATTTGAAAAGGCCCAGTTCTGATTCCCAAACTCCCTCAGTCAAGTTTAGAACAAAAGGACAGAGGACTCTTCACAAGCCTGATCATGCGCTTTGTTGTGTTTACCAGGGGGTGGCAAACTTTTTATGTAAAGGAACAGATAGTAAATATTTTAGGTGTTTTGGGCCACACAATCTCTGCTGCAGCTACTTGAATCTGCTGTTGTCGCAGGAAAGAGGCCACAGACTGTATGTAAATGAATGGATGTTGCTGTGTTTCATTAACACTTTATTTACAGAAATAGTCTGGGGGCCGGATTTTGCCCTTGGGTCATAGTTTTCCAATTTCTGGTTTAAAGGAAGAATCGAGCAGCCCCCTGTCATTCACATCGGTTGCCCCCAAACTCACCTGGAACCTGAATGCCATTGACCCCCGTGCTCCCCATCCTCTCTGTTCTGTTCTGGGCTTTGCCCGAGAGCATGAGTGGGGTGTGGTTGTAAATGAATGGATGTTGCTGTGTTTCATTAACACTTTATTTACAGAAATAGTCTGGGGGCTGGATTTTGCCCTTGGGTCATAGTTTTCCAATTTCTGGTTTAAAGGAAGAATCGAGCAGCTCCCTGTCATTCACATCGGTTGCCCCCACACTCACCTGGAACCTGAATGCCATTGACCCCCGTGCTCCCCATCCTCTCTGTTCTGTTCTGGGCTTTGCCCGAGAGCATGAGTGGGGTGTGGTGTTCACTGTGTCTGGTCAACTTCTGCAGAGCAGGAGGAGGCAGCAGAAGAAGATGCTGGAGCAGGGGCTGAGGCCGAGGAGGAAACCGAGGAGACCAAGGCAGGAGGTGAGGCCCTGGCTGAGAGCCCCAGAGCCGTTCCTGCGGCAGTGAGAACCCCGCCTGGAGCAAGCTCTGCAGCCTGGGCGCCTGCTCCCCCCGTCTGCTGACGCAGCAGTCGATGAACATTGATGCGTGCTTCTTTCGTGTCAGGCAGAGTCCTGGGCCCATGGGCACATGTGAGGACAGACAGCTCCCTCACCCCATAAACCAGCAGTGCACACCTTGTTAGGACCTATCTGTGGGGAAGGCTCTTGGCGGGGGGACTTCAGCTCAGAACGAGGACCTTTATTGATTTCTCATGTTTTGTTTAGAAGATGGACAAGAAGAGGAGGGTAGAGATGCTGAAGGTAAGGACTGTCGGACATCAGGAGAGAGGTTTCAGGGTGGCAAGGGCACCCCTCATGGCAGCTTTAGGGGAGACTGTCCATAGGGCTCCTTCCAGGGAGGTGGGGGAGGAAGGGGCCTGGGGAGGAGAGGACAGAACTTGGTGGCATTTGCAGGGCTTGGATGTTGAGCTCTAAAGCTTCACCCCTCCTCATCCCAAAGAAGCTGCCTTGGTGGTGCCCAGTGGGAGAGGGGACCCAGCCCCTGGGTCTGGGCAGGGCAGTGGGATGCAGAAGTCACATCCACACACAAAGCTCCTGGAGCTCAGGTGAAATATCTTGTAGGGCGTGGTGGCTGTAGAATAAAATCCCAAGGCACAGACGGTCACATGGTGGGTTCGCTGTGGTCATCGTCATGCTGCAGGCTTTACCAGGATTCTAGGTGGTTCCACTCACGCCTCTGGAGGGGAGGGGGCAGCAGCTGGGGCTTGGAATCACGGCCTGTGGCCACCAAGAATTCCAGGGGGCAACCAGGAAGGCAAAGACTTGGGAGTGGATTCTAAGGGGCTCCTCTTCACTGTGAAGCCCGAGAGCAGCCAAGCTGCCTTGCCCAGAACTGGTGGATGAGAGAAGGCTTTGAAGTTCCACACTGAGCGTGGACTCAGCTGTCCCCTGAGCATCCCCCTGGGGCCTCTGTGGGGGCAGGAGTGTGGGGTTTGTAGCCCCCTGCTGTCTTACTTCATGTTAATGCACCTGGATCAGAGCTCCCAGGGCAGAAGGACTCACTCACTGTACAGACAGGGAAATGGAGGCCCACAGGCGCCCAGCTCATCAGGGGTGGAGCTGGGATCAGATCTGGGGCCTCCTGACCCTGTGGTTTTGTGCTTCTCTCCCTTCCAGATGGCCCAGTGGAGGAATCCAAACCCAAGCCTAGGTGAGTGGGATGCGCCTGTGGTGAAGCTCTGGGAGCAGAGGGCCAGTGAGGGAGGATGATGAGGATGAATCAGGGGTGCAGTGTGGCACAGTGGGCACAGGCTGGAGTGTGGCAGACACAGACTGCCTCGTACGGTTGTACAGGTTGTATACTGCACCAGGGTCTCTGCCTGAGGAGCTGTGTGGGGGCTGAACTTCACCCTGCACTCCACTACCAGTTGTGCACCCTGGCATGGACGGGGCTACGTTCGTTCCTCTAGAGGAAGGCGATGGAATAGTCATGGCCCCAGGCAGACACACTCTGCCATCCCACAGGATGGCCAGGACACCCTCCTCCATAGCTGAGATGGGACTTGGGAAAAAAGGGAAGCAAATTTTGGGGAGCCAAGCAATGAAACTGCTCCAGTCTAAGCGTGATGGGTTCAGGTAGCTGCAGAGGGGCAGGGAAGGATGGCTTGGTCTCGCACGCGTGAAGCACGCCTGGAGGTGGTGCTGGTGGGGTGGGTCGGGGACAGGGAACGTTCTCTTTTGACAAAGCTTAGCCTCCCAGCAGATGGCGCCCCAGCATCCCTGCAGGCTTCTTCCCACTCCAGTGGAACCAGCCCAGCCCAAGACAGTCCCAGTTCGCTCTTCATCCAGGGCCTCCCCGCCTTTCCTGGGCATATACATACACGGCAGTATTTCATTTCAGCTCCACTCAGACCCGAGAGCAGATGGGGAAGCTGAGGACCAGACCCACGTGGGCCTGGTGTGACGCACTAAGTATGCGTTGGGGCCGGGACCAACCTTGTGTTCCTGGGGAGGTTCTGTGGGGTCAACCACAGGGGTTCAGATTCAGACAAGTATACCATCTTGTCACCCCTTCTCTGCTTCCTAGTTGTGTGGCTTTAAGCAAGTCACTCTACCTCTCTGGGTATATTGTGAGGATGAAATGAAATGACCTATGTGAAAGAATTTTGTGTATTCCCAGGTGCTGAGTGGCGGTGAGGACCACCGTCGTTGGCAGCCGTGCTGGTAGCATTGTGTGGTTGGCCGGGGCAGTGGTGGGAGTTTCTGCAGGAAGCAGAGCCCTGCCTACCCCAGGCGCCCACAGACCCTTGGTGTTGCAAGTCCAGAGTGGGGCTCATGCTCCTGACACCTTATTCTTTTTTCCAACAGGCCGTTCATGCCCAACTTGGTGCCACCCAAGATACCTGATGGGGAAAGAGTGGACTTCGATGTGAGTGGTGGCTGTGGGTAGAGCAGGCCCAGTCTGGGGATGGTCACAAAGACCTCTGATGGGAGACCTCATGAGCTGGTAGGCTGGGGTGGGTCTCAGGCAGGGTGGGGTGTTAGCACAGGCCAGGCTGGGTGCCAGCCTCGAGCATGGGCCCAGTTGCCCCTTCTCTGGCCAGGTCCCAGCCCTAGCCAGAGGCCTTCACTTTGAGGAGGGGGGTATCTGGGCCACGCCCCTCCCCCTGAGCTCTTCGGGGGTGGCGCCTCTGAGTCCCGGTGGTCTGCCCACAGGACATCCACCGGAAGCGCATGGAGAAGGACCTGTACGAGCTGCAGACGCTGATCGAGGCTCACTTTGAGAACAGGAAGAAGGAGGAGGAGGAGCTCGTTTCTCTCAAAGACAGGATCGTGGGTCTCCAGCCTCCCTGAGGCCCCGCTCTCCCTGTGCTTCCCACCCTCTCGTCAGGCCCGCCTCCTCCAGGCAGCCCTCCCTGCAGCCCTCGCCCTGCTAGCTGTGGGCCTCCTGGAGGACTGCTGCAGCACACTGAGCTGCTCTCGGGGCCCCAGCTGGGGCTTTTTGGGTCCCTGCCTTCTCTCACTGCCAGACTGGATGCTCATTGATGGCAAGAGCTGAGTCAATCTGTTTCTGGGCCCCCTCAGGGCCTAACTCGGGCTCTGGCTGTGGGATGACTAGTCAAATGCCCATTGTCCCACACTGTCCTCGCTCCTTACCATTGGTCACAGCTGAAGTGTGACCTGTGGAATTCCAAATCATTCTGTTGGGGAGCAGGGAGGTTATTTTGATTTCTTTTTTATCCTCTCCACCCAACCTGCTTTCCACAGACAGGTGCTCCGGCCGGCAGCAGATGGCTCAGCTCTCTGTCTTTGAACACAGAGCAGCTGTCGGGGCTGAGCAGGGGTGGGGGCGTAGCGCTCATGGGACAGAGGAGAAGCCTACCTGACATTTTGCAAATGGTTGAGGACAATCCCACGATGAGTCATGTTCCATGTGGGTCATCTGCACATGCCCTAGCAATGGCCATTCTTATTTAGCCAGGGGCTCTTCTGTGGGGAAGCTGAAGCCCTCGGAGGAAGGGTACCACTGCCCTGAGACTCTGGGAGGAGTTCTCTTGCCACCCCTGAGGGTCCCTGCGCCTGGGCTGACCCCTCCTCCTCATGTGCACACTGGGCACCTCTCCCTCTCGCCTCTTAGGAGAAGCGGCGGGCTGAGCGGGCAGAGCAGCAGCGCATCCGGAATGAGCGGGAGAAGGAGCGGCAGCACCGCCTGGCGGTGAGTGAGCCCCGGCCCAGGACCATGGAGCCCCCGGCATGCTCCCAGATCCTGCCAGGCCCCCAGTCCACTGACATCCATTCAGCCAAGACAACAGGCATCCAGCAAGCACTGGGCATCACCTTGGCTCTGATGGTATGCACCGGTGAGCAAGACAGAAATCCCTGGGTCCTTATGAACTTGGTGTTTTAAAAGACCCTCCAGACTTCATCCCTTCCCCAGCACAGGATTCCTGGGGACTGAAGACCATCAGCCTCTTCCTGTGCAGCTGCTGGAGCCCCTTCCAGAGCAATAGCCTTCATGGGGAGCTCCCAGCCTGAGAGGATGAGGGGACGTCCCACTTGGGAATCAGGACCTCATTCATTCACTAAACTCCTGTGTGCCAGCCTGGGCTCAGGCACCCTCAGAAAATTGCTTGCCCACCAGGGAGCCGACTGATCTCACCCATTAAGACCACCGCTTCAGCCCAGAATTAGGGATCCCCCCCACGGCCCCTAACTTGCTCTTCCTCCTCAAATCAGGAGGAGAGGGCACGGCGGGAGGAGGAGGAGAACAGGAGGAAGGCCGAGGACGAGGCCCGGAAGAAGAAGGCTCTGTCCAACATGATGCACTTTGGAGGGTACATCCAGAAGGTAGGTGGGGAGCCGCGGGGGGCACTGGGAGGTCCTGGCGAATCCATGAGGAATGAGGTATCCTCTGCAGCAGGCAGACTTCAGGCTGGGTCCCAGGAAGACATGCCCAAGTGCTGTGGGTGGGAGCCTGAGGCCTCCTCATGCCCTGCTCCTGAGCTGGCTCTCAGCCTGACTGTGGCTTTCACTAGGAGGGACCTGCCGGGGTAGGGACTACGGGCACAGCCAGAGTACCAAAGCTCCTCCCCACCCCTGGCTGCAGCAGTGCCCGGGAGCCCCAGGTGGCTGGGTGCAGCCGGAAGAGGCCTGTGCCTAGAGTCAGAGCTCCGGTTGGAGACCTACTCTGGCACACATAGCTGTGTGGCCCTGTGGGACCTCGGAGCCTCAGTTTCCTCATATGGGACTAATATTGCCTGCCCTGCTGCTTTGAGATCAAATGAGCTAATGTGGAAAGCTTCTATGTGCAGCACAGATGTAAGATTGCTCCCGGGAACTCTCAATTCTTAACTTTTGTGCCCCACTCCTTCTAGATACTCCATTCTCAAGGGAGGAGGGGGCGTGTAAAATTGATATTCTTTATGCAGTGGAGGGGTCAGAACGTTTTCTTTGATTTCCAAAGTCCCCAGCTCAGAATTGGGCTAACTACCCGGCCTCTGCCCCCACAGTGACCGTAGCAGCCAAACCTTTGGCATGTCCCTGCTATCAAAATAGTCCCCGCCTAACTCCTGGACCCCTGTCCTAGTAAACCCTGCTGCCTACAGCGAGTGTCTGAATTGTCTTCTTCTCCTGTGTCTCTCTTCGCCTGTGTCTTCCGCCCGTATCCTGACTTCTCCCTGTGTCTCTATCGTGTCTCCGTCTTTCTCTCTGGGCCTTTCTCTCATGGTTTCCTGGCTTAGCAGGCCCAGGTGGGTACCAAAACCTCAAGCCCTCTTCCTCCCCACGGTTTTGGGGAGCTCCCTGGGAGGGGAAGGTACCCTGCTGGAGGGGAGGAGAGTAGAGACTGGGCTGGATGGGGAGGAGGAAGGCCAGGGAGAGGGGAAGAGGTTGCTCAGGCAAAGGAGGAAGAGGCTGAAATGACCCTCCTGGTCCTGCCTCAGTTTCTCCAGGTAATCCAGGCAGTTGATAGTGTGGGTTGGTGTAGGAAGAAGCGGATAAGACCCTGGTCCTTCTGCAGGCCCCACCCCACTCCCTAGAGGGTTTTGGGATGGTTAGGGGACAGGGAGTCCCCAGGTCACATCCCCATATTGCAGATGAGGAAACTGAGATTTGGAGAGTTTAAGCAACATGCAGAGGGCTATTCAGTTATAAATGGCAAATTCTCTAGCCAATTCTCCCCGCTTGCCACCCCGTTCAGACAGAGCGGAAAAGTGGGAAGAGGCAGACTGAGCGGGAAAAGAAGAAGAAGATTCTGGCTGAGAGGAGGAAGGTGCTGGCCATCGACCACCTGAATGAAGATCAGCTGAGGTAGGGGCAGGGAGGGGTGGTCGGGGGCGCTGCCAGCGTCTGCCTGGGGAGGGATCAGGCAGATGGCACTTCTTGCCACGACCACCAGAGGGCGCTACCGCCTCACACGTGTGGCAGGGGGAATTGGGCCCTGGCAGATGAGGCCGTCCTGTCTGGGCTTTGCTGAGAGGAAGAGACAGCTGAGCAGGTGCCTCACTTCTCTGAGCATCAGCTCACCTACCTGCACACAGGTAGTGGGGAGGAGATTGAACTAGATGCTCCACAGTGTCAGGAAAGCTTCTCACCTGTCCTCCTTGTCCTCAGAACTCTGCCCCGGCAGCCCCTGGTGTCTGCTCCTGAGCATGGGCACTGCCATCTGGGCCTCAGGCTGGCCAGGCCCATAGGGTGGGCTGGGGCACCAGAGCAGGCCTGGAGGTGGCCAGGAGGGCTGGGGCCCCTGGGGGCTGGGTCGGTCCCAGGATGGGGGTAAATGAAGGCCCTTCCTTATTGGCCCTCACCCCCATGCCCACTCTGGCTCGTGCAGGGAGAAGGCCAAGGAACTGTGGCAGAGCATCTACAACCTGGAGGCGGAGAAGTTCGACCTGCAGGAGAAGTTCAAGCAGCAGAAATACGAAGTGAGCCTGCACGCTGAGCCCCTCCCCCATCCCGAGCCCCTCCTGTCTCCACTGGGTCCCGCACCGATGCTGTTGGTGGGGCTCCATCCCCTGTCCCCCTCAGCCCCCCGCAGCTCATGCACTTGCCTCTGGCAGGGGCCTCCCACAGTGTTCAGTCCTCTTTCCCTCCCTCTCTCCTTCCTCCCCTTCTCTCTTCCCCTCCTTTCCTCCTCCTCCTCCCCCATTCCTAGGCCACCTGGAACCTGGGCTGAATAAGCTCCAATGTCACTCTTTGTCTTTCCACTTTTCTTGCAGATCAATGTTCTCCGAAACAGGATCAATGATAACCAGAAAGTGTAGGTGTCTGAGGTCATCCTTTCCTGCCCGCCCCACCCTCCACCCCTGCCTCCTCCTTCCCTGTCTTCCAGCCATTCCATTCCTCCTTGGAGGGCTGTGGGCTCCCACCCTCTCCTCTCCTTCAGCTCACAAGCTTCCTTCTCAGGCTCCTCCCAGGCCTTCCCACAGCTGTCCTCCTAGGCCACGCTTGGCAGTGGGGAATGGGATGTAAGGCCTGAGGGGTCTCACTGCTGCACTATTCTGCCCTGGAGGCAGCTCCAGGCTGCTCCTCTCAACCCATAGCGTCCCCCTGCCGTCCCCCTTCCCTCCCCCTCAGCCCCATGGAGACTATGCTACCCTATGTCCCCATCTCACTGGGTCCTGCTTCCCATGTAGCTCCAAGACCCGTGGAAAAGCCAAAGTCACTGGGCGCTGGAAGTAGAGGCAGCAGCTTCCTCAGAGGCTGAACCTCCTTCACAAAAGACCTGCTTCTCACTCGTGGCCCTGCCCTGCAAGCCTCCCCGCTCCCGGGGCCCTCCTGGGCATTGAAGGCAGACTCCTGCCTGCAAAAAAGCTCTCCTGCCTGCCCCTGTGCCTGCACCACGCCGGTAATAAAAAGCCACACTCCGCACACACCGAATGGTGTTTCTGTCACTTTCCTTTCAGAGGGAGAGAAAGCGAGGTGAGATGCTGGTCTCACAGGGAGTGAGGGTGGACATCAGAGCCTCAGGGACACAGGCCCCTGGTGTCTGTCCACCTGTCTGGTCCCCTCACCTGCCTCCAGCTGGGGGAGGGCACATGACCCAGGGAAGGCACACACTTTCTCACAGCCCAGGAGGGAGGCACACACAGCGGGAGGGCTTGTGATTTTAGCCATGTGAGTCACCAAGAACACACTGGTGAACAGCGCTGTGAGTGGGGACAGAGTGTTCTCTGTGTGAGTCACTCCCTGGGGAACAATGGAGGCCTCTTGGATGGCTCCTGTTTTCTTTCTCCTCCCGGCCTGGGCACTAAGAACCAGGCGTCTGAGGGCTGGGGAGCCATTGAGGAAGGAAGGAGGGCTGGTTTCATAAAACAAACAGCTTTTCAGCCCCGGCTGCTGAGAGGTGTGGGATAGTCTGGGTGCCTCAGTTTCCCCCTCCCATGATCTGCATGTCCTTTTGGGCCTAAACCCACAACTTGGGGGTCACAGGCTCCCTGAGTTAAAGAGGACAGCATGGTGGCATGGATTCCAGTTTGCAGAAGGACGCAGAAACCATGCGGGTGAGAGGGCACCTAATTCACCTGCTCTCCAGGTAAGTCCCTGAGCAGGGCATGTTCTCTTGCAGCCCCATGCCTTTGCTCAGGCTGTGGCCTTGGCCTATAGTGCCTTCTCTCAATTCTCCATTTGCCCTCCATCACCAAGGACTCAGGGAGCCTGTGTCTGCGAAGGCTTCCCATAACCTCCCAGGAGGAGTGAACTCATCTCTCCTTGCTCGAGCGCACTGCGCCCGCTGCAGCTGCTGTCGCAGTTATGCCCCTCAACACCACACTGTATTAGGTTTGTTTCTTCCTACAGGCATGGCTCCCTGTGCTCTCAGGAAACAATACAGACCTATTTATCCTGTGCTACATACAGGTCAAGCACTCTGATAGAGGCTAATGATATGGAGATGAAAAGGACATGGTCCTTGTGCAACTGGGAGGGGCTCAGCCTGTGGTCTTGGCCTCGTTTCTTATTCATTCATTCATTCAGTGTCTCCTGAGCACCAGCTTTTTGCCAGGCACAGGAGTGTGTGAGGGAAGCAGGTACATAGAGCTCACAGCCCAGTGAGAGAGAGAGGTGGCAAACAGGAGGCCCTATCTCAGTGTGACAGCAAGGGGCACCCCCGTGGTCTTGGCAGGCAGGAGGGCTTTCTAGGGGAAAGAGTGTCTGAACCAAATCCCAGAAGGTGAGGAAGAGACAGTCAAGGGGAAGAGGTCAAGGTGGGAAGGGAACAGCACATACAAAGTCCTAGAAGCAGGAGGCAGCACGGTGTGTTTGAAGAGCCACATTTATTAGCAGAATCCAAGCATCTTCTGGTGGGAGACAAGAAGGCTCCACTGGAAGTGCCCCCAAAATGGGCAGGGAAGCAGGAGCCAGGGCCTCAGGCCCAAGGTGGGCTCTCACTATGGTCTCTGGAGACCTACCGCAGCCCCTGGGCATGACCCCAGCCCTTCTCTCCCAGTTTGAGGGCAGGACAGCTGAGGCAGTGCCCCAGCCCCTCTCCCCATAATGGGGCCTGCAGCCCCACCCTCACCTGTCACCTTGATGATGTGGGGGGCACCCCAGAGGGAGACATCTGGTCTGGAACTGTGACAACAGAATTTTCCAGCCACCATCAAGGCCCAATGGGGGCTCTATTTCCTATGCCTCAGTGTCTCCATGGAGCAACAAGAGGTAATGATGGCGCAGTCTTGGGTCCTGTCTCCTCCTGCTCTTCCTCTCCCAGCAGAGTCCTTGTGATCATCTCTAGTAGATGTGGCCTCTCCTTCCAAAACTGTATGCTTAGACACATAGAAGGCAGCCCTTGCCCTCTTACTGTGAACCTCCCCTAAGGCCAGGTCCCACTTAATCTCTTCTCTCCTAAGGTCACCTGGTGTTCAGGAAAGAGCTTTTGAGTGCCCTGGAATTGTCCCCACAGGGGCCCCACCCAGTCGAGGTTCCCCACCCTGTCATTTTAGGAGGAATGCCACATGTTAACCTGAGTGCTGCCTCTAGTTGGGAGACCTGCAGAAACTTGGTCTGCACGGAGCGTGGGACATTTTTCCATAAGTGGAGTCTGGAGGTGGCCCTGTCCTATCCCACTCACCAAGGAGAGAGCAAGTGAGTGCCAGACTGCAGGGGCACACCTGGGTCATCAGCCCAGCATAGGGAGTCCTTCCAAGTTCAACAGGGAAGGGTGTGGGCTTCAGGCTAAGTGGTCCTGCGCTCTCTCCATGATAATTCCGAGAGACCGAAAGGACCGATATGTTCTCTCCAGCCAACCACCCATGGTCCCCAGGTCACATCCCCATATTGCAGATGAGTAAACTGAGGTTTGGAGAGTTTAAGCAACATGCAGAGGGCTATTCAGTTATAAATGGCAAAGCTGGAATATGTTCTCTCCAGCCAACCACCCATGGTCCCCAGGTCACATCCCCATATTGCAGATGAGTTAACTGAGGTTTGGAGAGTTTAAGCAACATGCAGAGGGCTATTCAGTTATAAATGGCAAAGCTGGGATTTGAACCAGGTCTATGTGACTCTTTCCAGCATGTGGACCTTGCAGTCTGAGGAGCACCCCAAATCTCCCCAAACTGCAGTACCTAGACCCAAATCAGAGCCTGTGTGAGCTGGCGAGGGTGTGCCAGGTTGGGGCTCAGGGCATGCTTCCAGGGGTCCAGCCCCCTCTGCTCCTTTTCGGCCCTGCCCACCCAGGACCTGATAGGCAGAGATGTGCTATGTCTGCCCTGGAGGTGGCCTCTGGAAGGAACAGCAGGGGTGATGTTGAGGGGGGCTGTGCCCAGGGTGCAAGAGCACAGTCAGGCAGCCCCTCCTTCTTGGGGGTAATGACAGCACACTGTGTCCTAGAGGGCGGGGGGCATGTGTGGATCCTGTGTGCCTTTGCTTGGTCAGTGGGGTCACCCCTCGACTCTGTGGAGAGAGTGAATGAACCTCGGGGTGGGCAGAGTCCTGGGTCTAAATGCCAGCAGGGCTGATCTTGCTATTGTTGGAGGTGGTGGGTCGCTTCAGGGCCCTCAGCAGTCCATCTTCAATCTTACTTTCTAGCCAGACGGAGCTCACTATTGTAGTTTCCCCCAAATGTCCTATGCTCTCCCACCTCTACAATGGCTTTTTCCACCCCCAGAATGCCCTTTTCTTCCCTCTCTGCCTGTACAACTTCTCCCCATCCCTCAGGGTCTTACTCAAGTCCCTGTTTCTCCATTAAGTCTTCCGGGCCCCCTCCTGAGGGATGTCCCTGGTGCTGGCCTGAGAACCCCACACTGAAGGCCCATTCTCTCTGGCCTTGTGATTCACAGAAACCAGGTTTGGGTGCCCAGCCCAGTCCTCCCTCCCTGGCATTGTTACCAGAGCTTCAGCTCCACCCACCTGCTCATCCCAGGTTCTCAGCTTCCACCCCAACATCGGCAGGAATTTAAATTGCTCTCAACTGAAGAATCAGGAGAAAAATGTTTCCACACTTGTGCAAAGCACCCAGGCCCCAGGGTAGCCCCACCCATGGCCCTGCACTCAGTACTGGCCTTGACCACACCAGCCACGCCTTCAGCATGCCCCAATCCCAAAGCAATTTCCTCTGTAAAGTCAGGCCTGGGCAATGCAAATCTGAAGCAGACTGGGGCTGCTCTTCAGGAAAGTGGTGGGCGGGCGGGCAAGGTGGTGTGATTCCCAGGTTGAGATTGTGCTGGCCTTGCAGAACGCGGGACAGGAGACGTGTTTAGGATGAGCTGCCTCTCCTCGATCCTCTTCCCACCCGCCCGTGTCCTGCCAGTTTCCAGAAGATGACAGTAACTGGGCATGCGGGTTGGTGAGGATGGAGGGAGAATGTCACCTCACTTCTATGGGGGGGTAATGGACAAAGCAAAGTTTTCCCTCTGAACTTGACACAGAGACCCCTCTGGACCCATATCTCCCACCTACTGTGGTCCAGAAGAGGTGGTGAGAAGTGAATTCTGCTGGGGGACACCGAATATAACGTAGAAGCCAGCTACATGGTAACTAATAAATAATATTAGTCTCCATGTATTAGGCACCTATTGTATGCCAGGCACTGAGTTAGGTAATTTATATTTACTCTCTAATTATAGTAACATGCAAAGAGGTCCCACACAAATAACTCCATTTTATGCACAAGGAAACTGAGGCTCACAGAAGTTAAATGACTCACCCAAGGTCATATGGGGTAGGAACCCAATTATTTTAATTAAGATTTTGAAATTATCAGCGTGGTACACTTTCTACCCAATTAAGTCAGGTATCTGACCGAAATAAAGAAAAGCATATTTTTGAGGAATTGCTTCGTATTTGTTGCTTCAGCCAACAAATATCTGAATAATTTCTGACTATACCATGCAAAGTATGTGTACATCAATCCCTACCATAGAAAAACATGTGTGAAATAATGTTCAGATCTGTCTATAGCCAAATTTTGATCACTCACCAGGGCAGTCCAGTCTTATGATCTTACTGTTAAGCAGTAAGTAAGATCCTACTGCGGTTCCTTAGTCAGGTACAATGGTTTATGAATTAACACAGCCCCCATCCCACTCCGCTGAGGTCGCTGATTTCTTCACCTCTGCCCGAATCGAGACTGGGCAACTTTTGGGCCCTGGGGTCCCGGCTGGTTCATCTATAGATCCCAGCTCCCCTCCATAGATGCTGAATGAATGATGAGGAAATGATTATCAAGACTAGATCATCTTGTACGGGATTTGATCTTATGAATGTCAAATATTGACAGAGAGGGAAAATATGGCAAAATAGCCCCATGAGAGTTGTATTGCCTTTTACAGTTGTCAAAGCACTGTGACAAATCAAAACCATAGTAACTAGAAAAAGAATGACTTTTATCTTCGAAGTGTTGTAAGTTTACCTCACTCACATCTTATCAATGTAAGCAT